AAATCCTGGGCCTAACTCGATTTTGAAGAATTATGATTTTTTCGTATATGCACCGCGTTAAGTGTCCTAGGGGCTCAAAAACAATGTTCCGGCGCACACTCGGCAAAGCCGGTTAGTGGGCAGCTAGAGTAGCATAATTCTACGAGATACATGCAATAAAATCCTAGAGCTAAGTCGATTTTCAGAAATGACAGGTGTCTGATCGAATTCTGATCAAAGTGCGGATAGTGGCCTTCAGGACGTCGTTGCAGCAAACTGCTTGGTGGGTGGTTAGAATATGATAAATAATCACGACTTATCGAAAAAAATCCTGGACCAAACTCGATTTTGAAAAATTATGATTTTTTCGTATATACACCGCATTAAGTGCCCTAGGGGCTGAAAAACCGCTGGGTGGGTGGTTAGAATATGATAAATAATCACGAATGATCTAAAAAAATCCTGGACCTAACTCGATTTTGAAAAATTATGATTTTTTTCGTATATACACCGCGTTAAGTGCCCTAGGGGCTGGAAAACAGTGTAGGGGCTGGAAAACAGTGTTCCGGGGCACAATCGGCAAAGCCGCTTTGTGGCCAGCTAGAGTATCATAATTCTACGAGATACATGCAATAAAATACTGGACCTAAGTCGATTTTCACAAATGCCAGGTGTCTGATCGAATTCTGATCGAAGTGCGGACAGGGGCCTTCCGGATGTCGTTGGGGCAAACCGCTTGGTGGGTAGCTAGAATATGATGAATAATCACGATTGTTCGACAAAATCCTGGACCTAACTCGATTTTGAAAAATTATGATTTTTTTCGTATATACACCATAATTTACTGCTGAATCGCTGACAGATTAAAAATTTTTAGAACATGAAAGCATTACATCGTGAAGCCACTTGATGATTGCACAAAATGGTGGGCATGGAATAATAAGTAAGATGAACCCTTTGACAGATGACCGAAGGTTGTCAGTGTCTGTGTAGAAAGATGGAAAGAATTCTTTCGTGGGCGCGTGCTACGTTGCCAAATCACTTCAGATGATGTGATTTTCAAAATGTGTTATGTAAGAAATCGTCAAACCGACCAGAGGCAGTTGAATTGACTATATTTTATTAATGGGCAATTAAATTAACAGTTATTATTAAATCGTGAGGAGAAAATTATTAAAATTTGAATGGAATGAAGTTTATTGGTGGAATAGACCAAGAAACAGATTCCATTTATGGTTGTGAAGAGTCATAATTTTCACCTCACGATTTAATAATAACTGTTAATTTAATTTTCCCATTAATAAAATATAGTCAATTCACCTGCCTCTGGTCGGTTTGACAATTTCTTACATAACACATTTTGAAAATCACATCATCTGAAGTGATTTGGCAACGTAGCACACGCCCACAAAAGAATCCGTTGCATCTTTCTACACAGACACTGACAACCTTCGGGTATCTGTCAAAGGGTTCATTTTACTCATTATTCCATGCCCACCATTTTGTGCAATCATCAAGTGGCTTCACGGCTTCATGTTCTAAAAATTTTTAATCTGTTTTTAACATGTTCTTGTCACACAGTTGTGTGTATTTTATATAATTTTGGCCATTGTACCATTTATCCAGCTTTCACCATGTTACTGGGAGTTTCCCTCATCCTGAACGTAAACAACAATTAGCAACATCCTCACATACTACTGTAAGTTAAGTTAATTTAAATTCATTGTACACTATTGTTGCTACTGTTATCAATGTAATTGCAGCTCCTGATGATGATGGCAAAGTCCATTGAAAGCTAGAGAGAATAAAAAAAGTATAGAGTCCTCTTTGCTTTACAAAAGGCGGAAGCTTTAATTTTTCACCTATATATATATACAGGGCGTCCCAGAAGTCGACGTCAATCCGAAACCGGGTGATAGGCAAAGTCATAACAGCTATCAGAAAAATATTTAAAAAAAGTTTATGTATGTGTTTTGAAAATTATAGGTCTTTGAAAAAGATATAAGAATTTCACACTCTACGGCAGTCTGTCAACTCCTGTTACTACAAATATTAACTTTTTTTGGATTTTATTTTTACAATGTAATGATGAATAATGCATCTTCAAACTGGTGCCTCAACCTTACTGCCAACTTTTCTCGTTCAGAAAAAATTGCCACTTATTTCCCAACCAAGTATTCCAAAGTAAAACTTTGCTCAACTTTAACTGGCTGTACTTAAAAAAAGTGTACTACGAGAGCTTGGCAAGTAACCTTAAAAGTTGGCGCATTTAATAACGATTCCAAAATGGTATAATACTTAGAAGATTACTCGTTAACTTATGCACAATTTTTATTTGAAAAAAAACTGATGAAAATTTTTCAAAATTTCCTAATTAAACAGCTATTATGAAAACGCACAAAGACCCTTAAGGATAACTGTTTGCACAACAGTGGGCGTCAAAATGCTGCTGATGATGATTTACCTTTACAGCAAATGCTCAAACTGTTTTCCTTCAGCCGCAATACACGCTCGACATCTTCTTATAAAAGATCGGGTTATTAAACGAGCGAATCCACGGTTATTAACAAACTCAGATGCTTCCAATAGTCTGCCGTAGCTCAGCTACATTTTGAATCGCTTGAAATACACTTTTTCTTTTACAGTTGCCCAGTAAAAAAATCTAAAGGATTCAAATCAGGTGATCGGGCTGGCCACGGTATTGTACTTATCCATCTGCCTGGAAAGTTTTGATCGAGATACTCTCTCACTGAGAGTGCATAGTGCGCTGGGCAGCTATCATGCTGAAACCACATGTCCCTGTAAATACTCAGTGGTACGTCCACCAATAAATTTTGTACATGATTTTTAAAAAAATCCAAATAAACTTCAGCAGTCAAAGTCTCTGGGAACTCAAACGGACCGATTATTTTACCATTTGAAATTCCTGTCCAATGGTTTATCTTGAAGCGATATTGAGATTTATCTTCTCTCATCAAATGTGGGTTTGCTACGTGCCACTCGTGTAAGTTATGCAGGTTCATGTACCCATCTTAAATGTGGTCTCATCTGACCATAAAATTTCTTCAAAGGACCGAGGATCTTCCCTCTGTCTTTCTAACATTGTGCGACAAAAAGCAACTCGGGGCTCATAATCCCGGTGCAGGAGAGGTTGAACACGCTGTATGTGGTATGGATCAAGCACATCACTTACTTGCTTTTGCACACTTTGATACCGATCAGTACTCCTTCGTTTACTGCGCATCTTTACATGTTCGTGCTTGCTGATTTCGTACTGTTACTAATTTTGGATTCGTGAACTGGACTGTTGATCGCTTGTGTTTTGGATTTGGACTATTTAATTGCTCTTCAAAACAGCATTTGCTTTCCTTAGACTATCTTTGATAGTGTGATTGTGCAGTGCCACTATGTCCGTGTACACCGTACAAGAATATGCTAACATGCACCTCATTTATGGGGAATGCAGATGCAACGCTAGTGCTGTAGCGAGACTTTACTGTGAGAGGTACCCGAATGCAGCTCGTCATCCAGATCATCGAGTGTTCACAAATGTGCACCGCTTACTGTTCTCAGAGGGCCAACTACCAAACCAATCACACGGTGAGCGAAGATCTTTCCTTCCTGACGAAGACGTGGTGCTAGGAGCTGTCGAAGAAGGCCCGAGTACTTCAGTGCGTGCAATAGAACTAAAAACAGGTGTGCCCAAAAGTACAGCCCATAGAATCTTGCAAAAAAACGTGCTCCATCCATACCACGTACAGCATGTTCAAGCTCTTCTGCTTTTTGTCGCACAATGTTAGAAAGACACAGGGAAGTTCCACGGTTCATTGAAAAAATTTTATGGTCAGATGAGACCACATTTAAGAAAGATGGGTACATAAACCTGCATAACTTACACGAGTGGCACGTAGCAAACCCACATTTGATGAGAGAAGATAAATCTCAATATCGCTTCAAGATAAACCATTGGACAGGAATTTTAAATGGTAAAATAATCGGTCCGTTTGAGTTCCCAGAGACTTTGACTGCTGAGGTTTATTTAGGTTTTTTGCAAAATCATTTAGAACATCTATTTGAGGACGTGCCACTGAGTATTTACAGGGACATGTGGTTTCAGCATGATGGCTGCCCAGCGCACTATGCACTCTCAGTGAGAGAGTATCTCGATCAAAACTTTCCAGGCAGATGTGCAAACAGTTATCCTTAAGGGTCCTTGTGCGTTTTCATAATCGCTGTTTAATTAGGAAATTTTGAAAAAATTTCATCAGTTTTTCTTCAAATAAAAATTGTTTTTTAAGTACAGCCAGTTAAAGTTGAGCAAAGTTTTACTTTGGAATACTTGGTTGGGAAATAAGTGGCAATTTTTCCTGAACGAGAAAAGTTGGCAGTAAGGTTGAGGCACCAGTTTGAAGATGCATTATTCATCATTACATTGTAAAAATAAAATCCGAAAAAAGTTAATATTTGTAGTAACAGGAGTTGACAGACTGCCGTAGGGTGTGAAATTTCTATATTTTTTTCAAAGACCTATAATTTTCAAAACACATTACATAAAATTTTTTTAAATATTTTCCTGATAGCTGTTATGACTTTGCCTATCACCCGGTTTCGGCTTGACGTCGACTTCTGGGACACCCTGTATATATATATATATACAGGATGTCCGCAAAGTTGGGTTTTCCTTTACACGACGTCTAAATCTTGAAAACATAAGCAATTTTTCTTAGTATCATATACACCAATGTCTTAAGGGAACCGAGATAAAGGGCTCTGCAATATCAAAAATATCTGAATACCGTCATGTAGCCGCGACCCGCGATATCTCAGACTGGTACCGGCTACTAGCTGAACCCGACGACAGAACTGGGTCGGGGGTCTAGGTCAGTGTGTCCGGTCAGTATGCAACCTTCAACCGACGGTAAAGGGTCACGCGTATAGAGGTAACGAACCCGCATAATCGATTGCGTTTCAAAAAAAAAACAATAATGGCACACTCATACACCAATAATGAACTCGTTGATATGTTGTTAATTTATGGCGAATGTCTTCAAAATGATACAGAATCGTCGCGAGTGTATGCAGATCGTTTCCCTAGACGACATCATCCAAGGCCCCGCAGATTTGTGTACCTGGTCCAGAGAGTCAGGGATACGGGCCATTTGGAGGAATTTCGAGGTGGGCACAGTGGGAGGCCTAGACAACCACGAATGGTGCAAGTTGAGGAAGAACTACTGAATCGCGTAGACGAGAATCCCTCAACAAGTACTAGAGACGTGCAAGTATCAAAAACTAAAGTGTGGCAAACGTCCAACGTGTACAAGCCCTTCAACCTGACGATTTTCCAGCAAGAGTGCGGTTTTGTGAGTGGTTGTTGCATCAACATGACAATAATCCGGACTTTTTGAAGTGCATATTGGTGACAGACGAATCTACGTTCACGCGTAATGGGGTGAATAACTTTCGATTTCAGGCAGAGACGTACTTAGCCCTTCTCGTCAACTGGAGAGTGAGTACTTTTTCCTTTATTTTTTTTTTACTTGGTCGCCCTCGTTTCACTACACATTACCTTTGTTATTTCAAGGGTAGTTGTTTCTGAAAAGGAAAACCCCAACTTTGCGGACACCCCGTATATATATAACAAAAATAGGAAAATCCGCAAAAAGTGGATTCAAGCAGAAAATAGGATAGGTAACCCGAACGATACGTATTTCTGCTGGTTGGCTTCATCAGGCCCGAAATGAATGCACATATGCAACTACAAAAGTAGATACACATGCCCACACATCCGGATACGGGTGTAACCTGAGGAAACGAAGATGGAGAGGAAAAAAAGACACACGAAGTCCACAACAAGAGCCAACCTACACATTGTAGTATAAAATGGCTACAACACATAGAATTTTCAAGGCGACAAATAACCACAACCACGCGGCCAGTTATAGCCACTTGCTGTGGTACTTCAAGCCCAAAGGATCTACAAAGAGAAAATTATCATGCGGAGAAAGGTATATAACAAAAATAGGAAATAATGGGCAAAGTCTGCAAAAAGTGGATTCAAGCAGAAAATAGGATAGGTAACCCGAGCGATACGTATTTCTGCTGGTTGGCTTCATCAGGCCCGAAATGAATGCACATATGCGTGTGTCTTTTTTTCCTCTCCATCTGCGTTTCCTCAGGTTACACCCGTATCCGGATGTGTGATTTTGCCCATTATTTTCCTATTTTTGTTATATACCTTTCTCCGCATGATAATTTTCTCTTTGTATATCCTTTGAGCTTGAAGTACCACAGCAAGTGGCTATAACCGGCCGCGTGGTTGTGGTTGTTTGTCGCCTTGAAAATTCTAGGTCTTGTAGCCATTTTATACTACAATGTGTAGGTTGGCTCTTGCTGTGGACTTCGTGTGTCTTTTTTTCCTCTCCATCTTCGTTTCCTCAGGTTACACCCGTATCCGGATGTGTGGGCATGTGTATCTTCTTTTGTAGTTGCATATGTGCATTCATTTCGGGCCTGATGAAGCCAACCAGCAGAAATACGTATCGCTCGGGTTACCTATCCTATTTTCTGCTTGAATCCACTTTTTGCGGATTTTGCCCATTATTTTCCTATTTTCGTTATATACCTTTCTCCGCATGATAATTTTCTCTTTATATATATATATATATATGAGCAGTAGTCATTGCCAAAGCCAACGACTAGTTGGGTACAAAATACAATTACTTGTTAATTGGGAAATTGGCAAAACTTTTAGGCTTAAGTTGACCCTTTTGACGATAAAATCAAGCTTTCGGCATTCTCTATGGAGCCATCATCAGGATTCTGAAAACACAATTGTGATGCTAGCAAAGAAAACAGGACAGATTTAAAATATCAGAAAACTTACTCGTCGGTGAGGTTGCAGCCACAAGGTGTTTCAGAAAGAACGTAGAGAAGATCGAACTTGTGATCAGTATAAAAACAAAAGGACGGGGACATTGGGCTTGTTGAAAAACGACAGATACCTTCGTTAAAAGTTAAGAAAAAATAAAAATGATATCAATACACCCGAACAAGTTAAAAACATTACACGTGGGGAGACATTTTGTTGAAACAATCGGAATGCAGTCAATAACCTTCTACTACCGCTACACGTGGAGAGGGGGGAGGCACGGAAAGGTAAAGCGTCGACAGATGACAAGTGATTGACGCGACGGACCGTGATTGACGCGACGGACCGTGGAAATGTACACCTCCCTGTCCAACTTTGGGTATGAAGTATACGAGGGACGCTCGGTAAATCTCCACCCAAAATTACTGAATTGCTAAAATGACTTGCTTTGGAAAAAAGTGTGTGGATCATATGGGTGCAAGAATGTGTGACATTGATACAACCTTGAAAAGATGGGTTATGTGAGTTTATATTAAAAATGTGAGTGAGAAAATGTATTCTAATTTTGTGAAGATGTTGGATCAATTTGGACATGTAGCGGTTCTAGCTTTTCGCAATTCAACAGGTAGGAATAAATGACACTGAGTTGCTTAACATTAGCCTTTTTATTCATGCAATGATCTGTCATGAAAATGTGGGACATTTCTAAAAATAAATGTTTTGAGAGTCTTTTTTCTTTATCAAGAACCTCAATACTGCCATAATTCATAGAGTGACCTGTGTTGTTAATATGCGACGCCAAATCACATCTTTCTGGATGTAATCTGGCATCACTTTTGTGTGACGTTATCCTGCCTTTTAGCGACCTAGAAGTTTGGCCTATATACACTAAATTCCAGTTGTAGCAATTAATACGGTAGACAGTATTGGTTGAATCAAGCAACTGAACCTTATCTTTCGTTTTGGACAACAAACTGTTGACTGTGAGAACCGATTTACAAGCAAAACGACAATTAAAGGAATTATACAGCCTGATCAATTTTGGTGTTAGTTCTTTGATGTCTGGCAAAACAACATAATTAACTCTGGAAATAGGAGCAACCACTGTAGTGCTGTTGTTCTCATTAGTTGAAGAATTAGTGGGTATCCGGTTGGATTGACCAGGGTTGTCATTTTCACTATTGTTATTAGTGATTGGCAAAATATTCGGAGGAGAGCTGAACAAGATTCTGTTAGCCAAATACTTAGGATAGCCATTGTTCACAAATAAGATTGAAAGCTTCCTTAAATTGGAAAGATCGTCAAAAGAGTCAACTTAAGCCTAAAAGTTTTGCCAATTTCCCAATTAACAAGTAAATATATATATAAAAATAAAAGGATCATGCGGAGAAAGGTATGTAACGAATAGAAAAATAATGGGCAAAATCAGCAAAAAGAAGGAAATTGAATTCGAGCAGAAAATAGTATAGATAACCCGAGCCAAACGTATTTCTGCTGGTTGGCTTCATCAGGCCCGAAATGAATGCACATATGCAACTACAAATGTAGATACACATGTCCATACATCCGGATACAGGTGTAACCTGAGGAAACAAAGATGGAGAGGAAAAAAAGATTTGACATTTGAATTCTAATAAACATACGTAGGTGTTTGCCTTTTTTTTCACTCAGTATATGTTACGTGTTAGCATATCAGCGGTGAAAATATCCTGCTAATAGGTACCCTATGCTCAAAATTGTCTTTGTGATGTTCTTTTACATGAAGAACATCGGTAAGCAGCGTCATGTGATTTCTTTTTGGAGCATGGCGTCGGTAGTTGCATAAGGAGTGTACTAGATACCAACATGAATGATTTCGTATATTGTCGATCTGACCCAAAAAGCCGTCATATTTGAGAGGTGAGCTGAGTTCTGAACTATAAAGTGACTGTTTAAACCACGGGTAGGCAAGAATAAAACACGTGCTTACAAATTAGAAGCAATGTTTACTTTCCAACAATACAAATAAATGATGTCATATTCACGCATATCTATTTTCTATGTCAATAATAAATCTCAACTTTAATAGGGCCTGTTCTTTCAGAACTGACGTAGTACGCTAGATAATCCGATGGAGTCAAAAAATAGGTCGCAACAGATAATACAAAACGAGTATGGAAAGCATAGTTTTGCATAATGATCAATTCTGTAATTGCATGAAAGTTAGGGAGCGAACAGCGACTTTAGCATTCATCATAATTTGACATTCTAGACAAAGGCAATATTTTTTGCTTGATATGCAGAAGTTTTTGTTGAGAGTAATGACAAGGAAGAAGCTAACTTCAAAATGCGGTATAAAAATATGGTATATAAAAAAAATATCACAGACAACGTCTAAAATGATATAGCTTCTAGCTAACTAACATTGCAACCTAATCGAAGTCTTTGATTACTATTTATAAAGAAAGAAGTAAGTGCAATACATTTTGAACTTCAAAGTTATCTTTGGCAATCTTGTATAGTAGATCTAATACAAATTGAAATACTGACTAGTGGACCAACTGTATTGCGACGACGACTAAAAAATCTACGTGAAACAATGAAACCAATATTTCGATACCTACCCCCTACTCCCTACTGAGATAGGCCGTGGCAAATGCTTGTTCCGGAAGATGTTATATCCAGTATACAACTTCTTTCAAGTGGTTGTACACGTGTTAAGGAATACCTCATTACCGATTGCCGGGTGGCGGGACAATTCCGCCAACGGGCCACTTTAGGTCTATTTAACATCATTAACAACCAAAAAAAAGGTAGTAGACAAGTATCAGTCGACCGAGGCGGTACCACCCGCTAGCTTTTCCCAGTATGTCTTATAATTATCCGCAGGTTTCCACACCTAAGCTATGCAGTCGGTTATCTTCCCCAACAAAGAAATTAATGATTATGGATCTCTGGAGTACTAAGAATTCCGGACGTAAGCTCACTCCACTCTCAGAATGTCCAGGTGGAGGGTAGACTCGAGGGAACAACATCGAAGATAAAATTTGTTTCACGAACACCTGCGGGATTAACAGCAATATTGATGCTGTTCATCACTACTTGCAATCAAATCATCCCGACATGCTTTTCTTGGCAGACAAACATTTCAGAGTCTGCGCCGATTGACCATCTTACCTTCCCAAATTACGAGGCGTACACCAATCTGAAAAAGAACGTGGGAGTGGTGGCTTTTGTCTGCAGCGGTCTTTCATGCTCCAGAGTTGTTTCTTTGGAATTCTGTGGCTTAGCCTCAACTCCAAAATATCCTCCAAATTTATTTGCTACCTTTACCGCTCTCCCTCGGACCATAACTGGGATGACCTACTTGAATACCTCGCCGTCATGATCCACTTGCTGAACATCAATCACCCCGCTTTAGAGGTAGTCCTCCTCGGTGATTTCAATGCCCATAATGAGCTTTGGTTGGGCTCAAACAAGACCGACACAGCAGGTCAGGCAATCGAAGCGTTCGCTCTTACTCAAGGGCCGACCCAGCTGGTGACGAGCCGTACTTTTTCCCCCGCGCCTTGTCACATGCCAGTAGCCTGTTGGATCTCCTTCTGACCACTCATCCTGTCTCTTACAGCATTGTCGTCCTGTCCCCCTGGGTAAATCAGAACCCGCTGTGGCAGCAGAAACTCGCCCAGGCCGCAAAATTGGGCATTACGGACATGGGGACTGGGAGGAGCTCAGATACTCCTTCTCTACCTTTCTTTGTAGAGATGTTTTTTCTCTGACGCGGATGCGTCGGCTGTCTGTTCTTTGATAACCGAAATTATCCACCGCTTACATGTCAGAGGTGCAGAGCTTCTTTACTACCTCAAACATCACGACTTGATTAGCGACAGACAGTGTGATTTCCAGGACCAGCGATCCACAGGGGACCTCCTAGCTTACGTCACGCAAATGTGAAGTAAGCTCATCCAGTCTTATGGTGACGCTCATGTCGTTGCTCTTGATATCACGAAAGCGTCCGATCAGCTGTGGCACGCTGCCCTCTTACGCGAACTTCCATCGTATGACCTCCCAGAAAAGCTTTGCAGAGGGGTGGCTGACTCTCTGCCCACAAGATATCCGTCGTAATTGACGGGTCCTCCTCTTCATCCCACAACGTCAACGCGGGTTTTCCCCAGGGATCCGTCTAGGCCCCGACACTGTTCTTCTTCAACGACCTCCTTTCGTGCACGATCAACTCAATCCACAGATTCGCTAATGACAGCACTCTATATGCAGGAATTCAGGGTGACAAGCCTATCTCTGCCGCTGAGCTGGAAAAAAGAAGACTAGCGACGACTTCCTCTCTGACTAGAGACCTAGAGGTTATCACTGCTTGGGGACGCAACAATCTTGTACAGTTTAATGCTTCCAAAACACAGTACTGCACCTTGACAAACAAAAGGGTCCTAGCGCTCATCCAGTTTCTGTCGATGGCCGAGTTCTGCCAAAGAGCCGTTCACTTCGGCTGGTCAGGGTCCAGATCACCAAGGACTTCATCTGGTATGAACACATCTCGATAATAGCGGCAGCTACTGGGAAAAAGCTACGCTATTTGTTTAGGGCTAGGAAGTACTTTTCTCCGCATGTCTCTCTCACTCTATACAAGGCCCAGATAAGGCCCAGCCTCGAGTATTGCTCACACGTTTGGGGTGCTGCCGCCCCGACTACATTATTTAGGCTCGATGCTGTCCACAGGAGGGCTGTCCGACTGATCGATGACTGTTCTCTAACAGACAGTCTCGAGACCCTTTCGCACCCGCAGGGCCGTCGGCGATCTAGCTCTCTTCTACCGGTACACCAACGAGCTTTGCTCCTCAGAGCTCTCTTCCATGATGTCGCAACTTCGTACATCAAGAACTGGCTGATATGACCGCTCCTTTGTCCCGATTGTGTCGATGTTGTGGAATAATCTACAAGAGGAAGTTTTTCCCAGTTCTACTAACCTTAGGCAGTTCAAAAATCGGATTAATTAAATTTCTTTGGGATCTGCGCAGCTGCTCGGTATAAAAAAAAGCTCATTTATGCCAGGAAACACACTACTGTTGTACCACTTATCGATGTAGGGCTTCGTACCATTTACGTCCCACATTTACTGGAGAGAAGTGAGATACTAGGATTTAGTAGCGGCGGAGCTAAGGGCAAAAACAAAAAAAAGTGAAAATCTTCGTTATTTGGTGTTTCAGTAGCCCCTGGGTCGGTGAGGGTATATCTCAATTTCTTATGTCCTAACACCGGTAACTCTACGCACATATTGGACATATTTTACACGTCATAGACTTAAATTTGCCCTTAAAATTTAGAACGACAGAGAAATATTTTCTATGCACATGTCTGCCTCTGCTCCCTGGGCTCACCCGCAGGCGTGCCTGTTTCTAGAAGTCTCCTTCTATTATTGACAATGTGTTGCGCTGCCGCGTCGTACGGTCCAATATTCAGGAGGAGCGAGATTGCCAGATGGACAGTACTACCAGTAGGGCAGGGGAAGGACATCTATGGGCTGATTGTATGGGCCGGTTTGGCCAACTTGAGCCATTTAATTTCCCTGGTGTAGTTGTTTATGATTAGCTTTTTCTCAAAGGGTCTAACTTGTATCTTTATGAACTGATGCTGGCGTTGCGTGGGAAGTGCAGAGATACTAGTTACTTAACGACGCAGAGATACTAGTTACTTAACGGCAGCTTCGGGTTTTTTCACTATTTCAATTGATATTAGATCTGCTGCACACTTACTCATTTAACTAAACAGTACAAATCATATGTGAATCTGAGCAGCTATATTCCTCAAATTTGCGGAAAGGCTGCCCATTAGCAATCTTGTACTCGTGCTATCCAAAGAGATGCTGCGTTAGCCCTGGAATACGATGTGTTTTGCTTTTTAGTACCTAAGTATTTGAAAATGATCCAACGATATTTTAATTCATTCTTCTATCCATAGTAAAGAAGTTGCAATGCTCGTAGCTTCCAATACCTTAGATCTGGTGCAAATCTTAAATAAATGACCATATTATATTTTTAGCCATAGAACATATTCGGTTGTAACAAGTTAGATGATGTTCAGGTACTTTAGGTTCTATAATTTTCTGCCTTAGACCAGTACATAATTTTTTTAAGAAATTAGATGTACCTTGAATAGCGGATTTTCAAAAGAATTAAACACAGTACCTGAGAGGTATGAATGACTAATATCAAGTACCTATATTTAATAAATAATGAGTTTTCTTGCTACTATATAAAAAATGCTGCATTTAGCAAAATATAATCTCACAATCTACATCACTTTGCCCATTCCGTTACATAACTGTGAATATGTAGAGTAAAATCCCCAAATATGGACTAGTCCGCTAATATGGACCACCTTATTTTCCTTACAATGGCAACACCGCAACATCTAAATCATTTCTTATATTGTTCCGTACTCAACCCGCTATGTATCAGCCGATTTTAAGCAGTGCAGGTACAACGTTGACGTCAAGTCGGCCATAGTAATTTGTTGGCGGTATATGATATAAGTTTTAGGTAAGTTTCACAAGGATGTAATCCTGAAAATATTTTTTTTCTCAGTTTATTTATTGAGTATGCCTTGATCGAATATTGTTTTGTTGGATTGCTAAATATTTGAGATGATTATTGGCTTTTCAGAATAACAAGATAAGTAAAAAAAAATGATGTTTTTTTAATATGGACTACCTTTGAAGTACTAAATATGGACTAGTGGTCCAAATTAAAGGCTGCTCTTTTTAGAATATGTATTCACAAGCGAAGAATCCACTTAAGAAAAGACAAACATGGGACCAGGAAGCAATGGAAAATGCCATAATTGCAGTGAGAGAGAAGAAAATGGGATATTTAAAAGCCGCAAAATCGTTCAATGTCCCTAAAACTACACTTATTCGCTTATCTAAAAACAATAATTTGCCCTTACACAGCCTAATAGCAATTAATCTAGGAAGAAAAGCTATTCTACCAGAAAATTTAGAAATTGACTTGGTCACTTACGTTCTAGCTATGGAAAATAGCGGTTTTGGTTTGAGTCGACGGAACATTAAATCAATTGAATACCAACTCGCCAAACGCAATAATTTAGAAAATACTTTTTCAAAAATAAGTGAATCGGCTGGAAAAACATGGCTGAAGTTGTTTTTGTCTCGTCATCCTAATTTGTCTTTTCGTCGTCCGACAGGAACTTCAGTTGCGAGGATTAAAGGATTTAACAGGGAAAATGTCTATAATTTTTTTGACCTATTGGAGAAAGCAATAAATGAATATATCCTCCTGCTAACATCTACAACGTTGATGAAACGGGTATATCTGTTGTCCCAGACAAAATGCCGGAAGTTCTATCACTAAGGGGTGAAAGACAAATAACTGCAGTCACTTCTGCTGAACGGGGTTCAACCATTACGTGTGTCATTTCTATGAATGCAGTAGGATCATTCGTCCCACCAATGATGATATTTCCCCGTAGGCGAGACCATCTGCAATTAATGAATGGTGCTCCACCTGGAGCAATACACGCTTGCCATCCAACAGGGTGGATCCAAACAGATCTGTTGGTTTAAACACTTTTTGGAAAATGTGAAACCTTCCGCTACATCACCAGTCCTCTGAATATTGGACGGACATTCAAGTCACACTCGGAATATAGAAAAAACCATGTTCTGTTAATGTCTATAACTCCACATTCAAGCCATGAAATCCAACCTCTGGACAAGACGTTTATGGGTCCTTTATAAAAATATCTGTTAGAAGAAATTCGTGTACCTATGGATTCGAGTTAACACTAAACCAATAACTCACTATTACATAAGGCCACTAAAGCGACTGTTTTAACATCTTCACCATACAAATTAGAACTTGAGGAATCACTTATGAAGGGCAAAAAAATCCATGGACCCTAAGACAAAAATAATAGGTTGAAAGAAGCATTAATGCTAAATGAAGTTAAAAAAAATTACCAAGGAAACCACCACGAAAAAACGAAAACCCCTTCATAAAACGCGTGACAGCTCTAGCTCCGACGACTCCAGTGATTTTTCGGTAAAGGATAGTTCAGATGGCGAAGAGTCTTTCATACCTGATCCTACTGTGTAAGAAAACGCAGCCTGTCTGTACTGCGATAGTTTGTATTCCCAAGATTGCAATGGGGAATTATGGATCCAATGTGTCTCTTGCAGACGATGGGCACATGAAAATTGCGGTGGTGTGATATGTGAATTTTGTTCTAACCCTTAGACGTTTATATGATTCCAACGCTTTGTTATAAGATTTTTTAGCGAATTTTTGGTTTTATTTGGCACATTTTGGTATGGCCCATATTAAAATCCAGTGGTCCATATTATCATGCCAAGTAGTAGTTTATAACTTTTTGGAAAATGTGTTGTTTTATTTTGTCATTTGTCTATTTTTTGAGAAAAAAAATGTGTGTATAAGCAATAAAATATTACTGATTAAATAAAATAAATTAGACCGATTTCTGTCAATTTTTCAAATTTTTATTTAAAAAAAAGTTAGGGTGGTCCATATTTAGGGAACTCACTCTACTAAAACCGTATAAATATGATATGTTCAATTTAAGGTGATTGTGGAATGAGAGAGCTGTGTAGTTTATACAACCTTGAAACTTCTTTGAAATACTATTTTTCTAGAAAACTGTTTATAAGTGTGGCAGATAAATATGACAGAGTATAATGATCCCCACTAAATGGGATTTAGCGAAATAATCTAAAATAGTAACTGCTGTTTACTAATTCGGCATGAATTTTTCGATTAAACATTGTTACAATTAGTTAATGCAAAAAAATCATTCTAGGGGGTACATTCGATTGTCTACAAATAATACACAGGATAACATCTCCAAGGACCGTGACACCAATTACAATTTATAATATATTATCAGTAGGGACAACATTTGACGAATATCTTCAATATTTTCAATAAGTACGTAAATATTTGGACATATTTACACTATAACAGTGCTTTACTATGTTGCAGTGCCGTATGTAACAATCTGAAATTGACAAAAGTATCCTTACAACTATATATTGATACAAGTTCATGTCACTACTTCGATCCGCTTTCAACACTGCGTTCAGTTTTCAATTTTCTCATATGGAGCCTTTTAGACCATAAGGCATTATTACCAGTCACTATCTTGTTGTTGCTACGACTGCTCCTGAGAGCCGTATCGTCAGTCGTTCCTAGAATTTTGTAGGTCGCCTTTATGGCCGCCTTGATTGTCATTGTTTTCTACTTTTCCATGTCAGCGCTCTATTTTGAGGTTATGTCAAAAAAGTCTATTTGCATTAAATTATTCATGCTTTTGATTTATATGATCTGTTTTATCAGCCTAAAAGTTCGTACACTTCAAAAAGAGAACATAACTTCACAATAGGAGAGCGCTGTCGCTGACACAGAACAGGTGAAATCTAGAAATTTCTGAAGGAGAGAAAAGACTATGACATTCAAGGAGGCCATAAAGGCGTCCTACAATTGTAGAAACGCCTGACGATACGGTCCTTAGGTAGCCAATGCTGTGCTGTTAGATAAATACATACATATTTATATAAAAATTAGTGACATATTTATTAAGACATAGTAAATTTTTATACAATTTCATTTATTGCTTTTCATTATTATATTGGAGCATTGTAGATATGTTCTTTTAAAAAATTACATTTCGTCATGCATAGTAACGAGCAATTCGAATATGTATGAAAATAGAGTTTGCGGTTCAAAACTTTTACATTGGGGTTTATCATAATGTACCCAGTATAATATACATAAATACTGCTACCTTACTCGATATAATATATTGCAAATTATAGAAGTGTGTACGAGTATGTACGATTGAAGGTAAGTGCTTAAGTTGAAACCGTACACACTTTATCATGTATTATAATTATACTTTAGGTCCAGTCCGAAGACATCACTTTGTTTATTTACTATGTAGTTCAGCCCTGGAGTACTAGCCGCACACCAAGTTAAAAGACAAGAGATCCCCGCTCCCGTCCCGTCGCACTCCGGTCTTGCACGTTGAGTCATTCGCTTTTTGGTGTTACAGCCGTACGGTCGCCCGGCTTGTTTGTGCGTTAGGAAACACGTAAAATACGCGATTCCTTTTTCAAATCGGTTTAGTGCTTGGTGAGTAGGTTGGTAAGTATGTACAACAATGGGTTGTTTTGTTGCTCATCTAGTAGCACGTTATATATAATATAAGATATACTTAGCAGAAAACCATGGAAGAAACACCTGGCGGCAGGGACCACGTCAATGGTTCCATGAAATTTCAGTTTTTTGAAATTGGCGGCTGCGCCAGAAAATTAGTATACATATATCATATATGCACATTTTTAAAGAAATATGCACAATTTCTATTGACATCTTTGCATAATTCAAAATCTATCGAGAACAACACTGTCAAGGTCCCGTTCGCGGAGTAGCATCAGTCGTAGTCGATCACCGAGCGTGTCGAAGCGATGTAGAGAGAGACAAGAATATGTGCGGGAAAAAAACAGAATTCATTCAGCCCAGCTGATAATGCACAGCGTCAGGTAGGCCTAGCTGGTCGTTCCCCGTGCAAGCCGGAAGCTCAGGTACTGACAGGGCCGGATGTGGGAGCGGCGCCAACAACGCAAAACAGTATGGACGACGTTTTGATACTTGACGATGCCGATTGTATGCCATTATCAGAGGACACATTAAATATCCTGGGTGCCGATCCTGAAAAGGCTAATACGTCTAGTTTTAAACTTCACGGTGCCCTAGCCTCCAGGTGGTCCCATATTTTGGCAAACGGGCTATCCGCCGAAGATAGTTCTATCCTTAGCGAAAAACAAAATGTGCCATCTAATTTCGCTTTATCACGTCCTCCAAAAGTAAATCCCGAAGTGAAAGCTATTTTTTCATCCACACATTTAACTAAGGATTCCACTCACTCCGGGTACCAATTGCACATTGGTAACGGACTAACCACCCTGGGAAAAGCACTCAACGTTATCTTGGAAGACGAATCCAGCATCCCTAAAGACATTTTACACCAGGAACTTGAGGGTAGAAGCAGCAGGTCGAGGTCTCGTGCCGATTCGCCCCAATTACTTTAGGCGTTCTCGTTCTCGGATGAGCCGTAGACGTTCAAGGTCCAGGGATGTTCCGACATGCACAATTGTGCATATTATGCACAATTTTACGAACATATGCACAACATGCACCCCCCCACACAAAATATGCACAATCGCCAATAAATAAAGTGCATTTTTTATACAAAACTGTCAATACATTTTCTTAACAGCTTCTCGAACTGAGTGAAATGTACTGTTACTGACACAAACAAAATACGAATCCAGTAATTATTTGTTATGCATTCGCGTCCCGATGATTTTTCATAACTGATAGCCCTAGTTAAATTTAATAAGCGGGGATTTGGAGGTTAATTCTCCCAGTTTCTTGAGGAGTCTTGTCAGGGAAAAAGTCTTTGACAGATTCTGCCCGAATATTGGCGGCTCTTTTCCACGATATTTCGAAAACAAGGAAATATTTAATTAGCCCAGTACTTAAGAAATCAGTTAAAGAACTGACTGAAAATACCATACCTGGTGAATTTTTGTTTGGGCTAGATTTAGGTAAACGAGCAAAAAATTTGAAATCATTGGAAAAGGCAGGACATGAATTACGTTTGCCTTCTATCCCCTCACGCACTAGCTCTCAATCAGAGAAAGAAGAGGGGGGGCAGCTCGTCCAAGAATGCAGGACCTTTAAACAGGTATCGCCCGTCTTACCGCAAGAGGGAGGTGAGACAATACAAGGGCCATTCCTCGAAACAGTTTCCTCAGATCAGACAACAGCAAACCAGGAAACGCTGAAGGTAAAACAAGTTCCGTTTGCTGGCCGTTTACAGTTTTATTTGGACTCTTGGTCCAAACTACCCTCAAATTTGACAGTCGTATCCTGGATTCAAGGTTATAGGATTCCCTTTAAAGACAACCCTCCATCATGCCACCACTTGGTTAAAAATAATGTTTCCCCTACAGAAACATCGCTAGTAAGATTAGCTATAAACGATTTGTTAAGGTCCGGAGCCATACTCAAATCTGAGTCAAGGCCCGAACAATTTATCTCTCCATGTTTCCTAGCAGATAAATCCAGCGGTGGAAAAAGATTTATTTTAAATCTAAAACAATTAAATGAATATGTGGAATGTCCGCATTTTAAAATGGAGGACCTACGAACGGCTATTAAAGTGATTCACAAAAACGTGAATATGTGCACAATTGACTTGAAAGATGCATACTTTTTGGTACCCGTTCACAATGACCATCAAACATTCCTTAAATTTCAATTTGAAGGTCAATTGTACCAATTTACCTGCTTACTGTTCGGGTTATGTACAGCTCCGTTATGCTTCACAAAACTCATGAAGCCAGTCGCCTCTTTTCTCCGCACTTTAGGCATCTCTACAGTCAATTACCTAGACGATTTCCTAATATTTGGAGATTCCTATGAATCCTGTCTCAAACACGTCAACACAACCATTTGTCTTTTAAAATCGTTAGGTCTTGTAATCAATAAAAACAAAAGCATCCTAGTACCTACCACTTACATAAAATTTCTAGGCTTTATGATAGATAGTGTCCATTTAAAAATAGAACTTCCTGACGAAAACAAGCCTATCCCTGAAAGCATAAAGCCAGATATTTTTTGGTGGACAAATCATATTTCAAAAGCCTTCAATGACATCAGGTATGATTCCTTTCATATAACAATTTTTACCGACGCATCACTTACAGGATGGCGTGCTGGTTGTGGCCATGACAGAACCCATGGATTCTGGTATGACTCTCAAAAACGGTTACATATAAATAATTTGGAGTTATGGGCTATTTTGTACGGGATTCAGTGCTACGCCAAAAATTTTAAAAACTGCAATATTCTAATTAGATGTGACAACACGACAGCTGTTTCATACATCAACAAAATGGGGAGTGTTCAATTCCCAGACCTCTGTTCGTTGTCAAAACAAATTTGGCAATGGTGTGAGCAAAGGAACCTCTGGCTCTTCGCCTCATACATTCCTTCGAAGGATAATGTTATAGCAGACACCGAGTCCAGGAGTTTGAATTTGGAAACGGAATGGTCGTTATGTCAAACCGCCTTCGACCGTTTAACCACCGTTTTCGGAAACCTGGAGATTGATCTTTTTGCTTCCCATACAAATGCTAAATGCAAGTTATATGTCTCCTGGCATAGAGATCCAGGATATGCATATATTGATGCGTTTATGATTCCCTGGAATAGATTTTATTTTTACGCATTTCCACATTACAACAATATAACAGTTCGTATAAATTATGGTGGGGTTATTGCTTCAGTAATGACATTTCGCTTTTTAATCCCACAATCAAAGAAGTGGTGTCATTCTTGCAAGAATTGACAAATAATCAAAACCTTGTATGGTACTTTTAACTCCCATACATCTGCCCTTTCATTAATTGGCTCAAAGGATTTAGCCTCTAATCCGATAATTAAACGCTTCAAAGAAGGCATCTCTCGCTTACGGCCTTCACGACCAAAGTATACTGCCACCTGGGACCCTATACCCCTTCTAAATTATTTAGAGAAGTTATCATCACCGCTTAAACTTCAAACTCTGTCTCAGAAATTAACGACGTTATTAGCCCTGATAGCAGGAGAAAAACTCCAGTCGATATCTCTTATACGTCTGTCAAATATAATCCATGGTCACAGTGAATCAACTATTAATATATCGGATCCAATTAAAACCAGTAGAGTTGGAAAACCTCAACCCACTCTGCACATCCCGATTTTTCAACAAAACCCCTTTCTTTGCGTGGCCACAATCCGGAAAGAATACATTGATAGAACGGCTTCTTTAAGAGAACCCAATAACGATTTCCTATTTGTGACAGGGAAAAAACCCCATGGCAGGGCGTCTAAAGACACTTTAAGCAGATGGGTAAAACAGACCCTTGCCTCTGCAGGAGTAGACACAACACCTTTTACGCCTCATTCAGTAAGGCATGCGGCGACTTCTGAGGCGTTAAGAAAAGGCGTTTCCGTAGATAACATATGTAAAACAGGTGGTTGGACGCAACGTTCCACGTTTGCAAGATTTTATAATCGTCCTCTACAACCAAACAATGAGTTTGCAAGTGCAATCCTAGATATAAAATTGGTCTGATTAGTTAAGCTCTAATACTCTTAAGAGTTTGTTACAATTTGAGAATTTATTTTATGTTTGTTACATAGGAATACTAAATATATGGTTTTGTCGTTTCTGAACACTTTGATTCCACTTTATAACACCATCAGATCGCTCGCAACTGTGTTCTATCTTTAAACATCTACATAGTAAATAAACAAAGTGATGTTTTCGGACTGGACCTAAAGTATAATTAATCGATCAAACGAACTTACCTTAAGTGAAGTTCGATCGTAATTATACGAGGGTCCAGTCCGAAGACATCACTCCCACCCCTTTTTTCAACCCTCCCAAGTTGCGAGCAAGTACCATTTCTTTTAGCAAATGACTCAACGTGCAAGACCGGAGCGCGACGGTACGGGAGCGGGGATCTCTTGTCTTTTAACTTAGTGTGCGGCTAGTACTCCAGGGCCGGACTACATAGTAAATAAACAAAGTGATGTCTTCGGACTGGACCCTCGTATAATTACGATCGAACTTCACTTAAGGTAAGTTCGTTTGATCGATTAATTATGACGCAATGCAGCACTACCGTGATATGAACCATACACGTGACAGAGCATTATGACATACACTTGGAGAGACTTGCCATCTAACAAAAAAAACTGCCGGATCAATCATAATTAACTTCTTTGCTCGATAAGGACTATTAAATGCTTTTCATCTATTGGAACATAACATGTTACTACTTGCAATACTGTTTTTTTTCACATATTACGCATTCTTCATAAAAAATATCAATTTCTTGTATCACCAGTTATGTAGATCTTAAAACGCACTACTAAACACGCACATTTACAAAAGTACTTTACTATTATCCTGTATCCTCGTACATAGCAAAGCTGTGATAATAGCTAAAGAGATTGTTAGGATCGTAGGAAATAGCAGCATGCTATGGACTAGCATACTATATATAGGAATGGCACAAAGGGATGCTATATGGTACAAACTGCGCATCATACCGTGCGCAGTACATCTGAAACAAAAAAAAATATCAGATAGACTAAAAAATACACCACACTTCGATACATGCGAGGTCTGTAAATTAAATTATGAGACTGACGACGAAGCACTCGATCTGGCAACAATGGAGACGCCGGGCTTGGAGGGCAAACCGTATAATGCCTCCACTACACGTCTTCAGATGCGTCGGCGGACGTCGGCAGATGCATCGGCAGGTGAATCCCCACGAGCTGACCACACGTCTGCAGACGTCTGCAGGTCGCTCAGTCTGTGTCAAGCCTCGACAGATGCAACGGACGCAATATTTAAAAAATGGATGTTGAGATGGTAACTGCCGCAGCTATTTATTTGTTTAGTACTTTTAATTACTACTTGAGTGCGTATACTTACAACATTTTTGTTTTTGTGGTACTTATTCTTTGGATTCCACAGGCAGTTTTCTGCTTGATATAGCTCAATAAATTTGAAGGTTTCATCAGTGGTCATATTAGCCATGTTAGCGAAAAAGGTTAAGGTAAAAACCTTAAGAAGCGCGAGTACAGTCTCTTTCCCGATTCCGATAGCACTGATGCGTGCTCATTCTTCGTCAGACGTGTGGTCAGACGTCGGACGCTCGCGCCTTAATCCCTTTGTTGCGTGTCACAAAAACCGACAACAGACGGAAGAGCGCCAGACGCATCTGCCGACGTCCGATACCGCCCACAGACGAGCAAATACCCCCCTCTACATGTCGGCGGACGCACCCGCAGATGACGTCTGCCGACGCATCTGCCTACGTGTGGAGGAGCCTTAAGCTTGAGCTCGTTCGAGTCATTTGGTTGTCTGTAGCGATTTCTTCTGTGAAACAGTGTTTCCTATTGTCTTCTAAAAATAAATAACATCAATTTAGAGCAACGGTGTGCTATCAGGTTCTGCTTCAGACTTGGGCACAGTGCAACGGAAACACTTGCTAAACTTTAACAGGCCTACGGAGATAGTGTTTTGTCAAAAGCCCAGGTTTTTCGGTGGTTTCGGGCATTTTCAGGGAGAGAGTCGATTTAGGCTGAACCACGAAGCGGAAGGCCTTCATCCTTAAGAACCGATGAGAATATCGACAGAGTCCAGGATCTTATGCATTCCTGTTGTTGGTTGACAGTCAGAATGATCGGGGAAGAGTTAAATTTGACTCCCACACCCGTTCATCAGATCAAAAACAGCTGGGTGTTGCACCACGATAATGCCCCTTGTTACACAGCAATCCCAATAGACGAGTTTTTGGCCAGTAAAAGCATCCATGTGGCTCCCCAACCTTCTTATATGGAAACTCATTTTGGGGCAGTCGAAGACATTCAAACGGCTATAACTGACAATCTGAAGGCTAATCCAGTATCGGAGTTCCAGCACTACTATGAATGGTGGAAGGACCGTCTCCAGTGCTGTGTGGCTTCAGAAGGAAGTTATTTTGAGGGTCAATAATTATATATTTGAATAAAAAAAATAAAAAATCGGTCTCCTCGCTTAATTTACAGACTTCGTATATATGTTATACTTATTTGTGACGGATACAAATAATGAATATAATTTGTAAAATTCCGATATAGGACGTCCTACCTATACGCTTCGCCTACATACCGCGTGCTTCAAATTCGACTCTCACCAATGGGATCTCGGAAACGGTAAGAGATGCAAAGTAGCACATAGAAAGTTACGCAATTCCAAGTATTTCCGGAGATAACTGAAGAAAACGGAATATTCCCAAATTGGTTATAATTTTTTCCTGGCTTCACTTGGGATGAGATTCCAAGTTCGTCTCTTCTTCTCAATCACCAACTAACTGTTTGTTTATATAGATAAAGTATTTTTGCACAATTAAATCTGCTTTTTAATTCTGATTCCAAAAATGTACAATATACATACATCGACATTGTCAAACCTAAGCTGTTTCGGAAAAACTAATACTGTCGTAGTTGACTATGAAAATGACGGTTTATCAGATGTTTAACCGATTAAATTGCTTCAATTTTGCAAAAGCATGTTTAGAAGACATTTTAATTTGACCATTTATCTAACACGGCAAGCGTTATTTTAGCACGATGAAGGCGCCCTATATGACACCTCAGCCGTAGTAGTATTTGACTGCAAGATGTGTGTATCGGTGAGGGATATGAAATGTTTTTAAGAAGCTGTCACATAGTCGAGGCTTTTACTTACTTTACAAAATGTTTTTTTTTATTTACAGGCCAGGCCGCGAGCAAGAACATGTAGTTTTGAAGTTGGTTAGCCCCAAGAAGGACTACGAGTAGGACCAACTATAACTGACCACCGGAACTATGGAGCCTAGAACATCGGAGACTAACCTGATGGCGTTCGAATATTCTACAGGAGAACACTCAGCTAAAACAATGACCAAGCCATACAGTTATAATAATAATCTTTAGCTTTATTGCCCAACAGTCTCCCAATTACAGGACAATAATATATTAGCGTACAACAAAACAAAATTAAACGAAAATGCCAATGAATGGATGTAAAATATAAACAATAACTGAGTTAGCGAAAAGTACGAAAGTACAATATATTATAGAAAAAAATAGTATAGGATTATTCAAATATGTCAAGCATCAATACCTCTATAAAAAATATGAAGCCGACATTTACAATAAACATAATAATGTTTTTAATTGTTAAACATATCGAGATAAGGATAGCCCATTTATGTGATTTCTCTGTCCAAGTACAGACAACCACAATTCAGTATTTTTAAGGTACGAGTACTATCAAAAGTTATATAGCAAACAGCAGAAATTGAATTAAAATGTAATATATATATATATATATATATATATATATATATATATATATATATATATATATATATATATATATCTGATGTTAATATAAATTAGTGATAAGTGTTGTTACGGAGTGATAAATAAAGTTATTGAATGTGTTTACGTTACAATATCTTTTTTATTTCATTGTTATACCATTTATGCTGCCAGCAAGCCAAATTTATATTTGAATGTTGCATTGATATTACAAACTATAGTATTTTATGGATGATTCCTTCTGGGGCATCCTCATAAAAATGTAGCTTACCTCAAGTGACACGGATAACCCTCCACAACAGTCATGGTTACGGCGTTCAATGCACACGCCAGTAAAATTTTGACAGCCAATTCTACAGTTGTTACCCAAAATGCTGCATTAGCTGCAAACATCCCTGCAGATGCAGCCGCGGTTAGAGCACAGGCAATCGTTGCTACAGGAGGTCTGGTAGCAGTTTCCAATACGAAGCCCATGAAGAACAGGGAAGGAAACATAAATCTAGAAGTAAAATTAGCTCATTCCATAAGACCGTAACTGCTCATGCGCTCCATGAAATTCTCCTCCTTAGAGGGAGGATAATATCTCCACTACATGATTTATTTCATCCATATCTTAGTATATATGACTACAAGTATAAGGTGAAAAGCTTTCGGCCTGATACAAACATGATGCAAGGAGTGTGATGCCGTAGGATACACCTAACTGCACAGTAAGATGTTTTTTTTTTGACACTAGGACATTACGTCCCATTAGCCAGATCAAATATACATATATATATATATATATATATATATATACGAACAGTAGTCATTGCCATTACCCACGACCAGTTGGGCAAGAAATACAATTAATTACTAATTGGCAAACATTTTCTTTAACGCTAGTAAACTCTTAAGTCGTCGCTGAGTTTGCAGCCAAATGGTGTTTCAAAACGAAAGCGTGGATGGGAGCACTCGTTGCAGTTATAAAACCAAACGGACGGACACATTGGGTTTCTTGGTAACGACGAAAACCATAGCTAAGTCTTAACACTATATATCAATACATCCCGAGCATAAAGTATGCTCCAAGTAATACACCGAGTTACGATGATATAATTATAATTATTCCTGGGGTCTTAATTGATATACTTTTACACTTTCTGAAGATAGAATAACGATGATTACTATATTGTTCATATAAACCAGAAGGAGTCATGTTTATATGTTTCAAAGTTTAAAACGTTAAACGCCATGGCGGTCCCGTGGGACCGCTTGACAACGCGCCTATTACGCCACGGCGCGCGGTCTGTATGAACCGCTTTGTATCTAATTTATTTCCACGGTGACTCCAGCCAGAGGTCCATATTTGAATTCATTTTAGAGTTAGATATGAACTGCTGTGGCTTGTATGTATTATACCCATATGCCATCTTTTTGGTGTATTTTTGTTTTAAATAGTTATTCATTTTTTGTGATTCGCATCATTTATTTCCTACTAATTCTACACAACAACTTTTACAAAAACAAACAAGATTCCAGTAAAAATGCATATATATATATACGTAATATATATAAAATAAGTTATGATATAGGGATACAAAATATAAGATAATTTTATTTATTTATGACTTGTGCTGAAACAGTCAAGGCAACTGTCACAATATATAGCAACTTTTGGAATTTTAGTTTTTGGTATTTCACCCCTTATTTTTTTATTATAATACCGTCTGACTTCATGTTATTTCCCTTCTTTCTTTTTTCAGTACATGTCGTTCCCGTCTTGTGTCAGCTTTTGACGTAGACGGTAGATTAGACACATTATTTGTTGGAAACATGACTTTGGCGCTTTGGCCTGATGGACATTTTTGCTTGGCGCTTAACGTGTTAAGAGATTAAACTGCTCTTAGATGCTGTTTACAGATAGTATGACGTCATTATACATTAGTATGGGCCAAGCATGGCGGATAGAGTTTTCGCCTGTCTAAGAAAAATACATTTTTAAATTATGAATTATTTTGATTCAATAGAACAAATATTTACCGCTTAAGATCTACGTAAAAGATGTGTCAACTAGCCTATTGTCACGAAGGCATTAGCTCTCAGAAGCGCTGCTCAAGTGCTAAGCATGCTGTCGGTTCTAGTGGTAGGTGACGATTTCCTATTTCGATAGATCACATACCTTAGGTAGTAATAGTCATATCGTTGCTATACTTTGGTTCGTTGTCCGACAGGCTCAGGACTGAGACGTTAGCCCAAAAAAAAACGGGGGAAATTCATTCATGTCATTCGATTGTCCATAATTTGTCCACGTTTGTCCACCAAATCATTCGATTTGTCCACCCTTTATATTCTCATAAAATAACTAACGAAGCTTCAAAATTTTCGAATAGTGAAAAAACGTTTTGCTCTCTCGTTTGTCCATGTCAATCGTTAGTCCACATTTGTCCACCGACCACCCTTAAGTTTCATTTGAGCACTTTTTGAATTTGGTGGAAATGGACAAAAATCAGTCCGCCATGACCTCAAATTTCTAGTAAAATGCATTCAAAATTGGTGAAAATGATTTATTAGGAATAAAACAAGTTCTTAATATTTGCTGAACATTTAAAACATCATCCACTGAATTAATTGGAGCCGAAAAATCTTCACACCCCTGCAAAATTGCTAGAGACATTTCATCAAGTATGAACATCATTGCATTCGTTTGTCAACTCATCACAGATATTTGTGCACCCTACAGATCTAAAAAAAATAATCATCTGACCCTCTCAAACATTTTTTAAAGTTACAGCACTGTAAAATCGTTGAAGACACTTGAGCAAAGTTGAACATCATTGCATTCGTTTGTTTACCCATCGAAAACGTTTGTCCTCACCACAGATCTAAAAAACAATCTTCCGATTCTCTCGAATATTTTTTTAGTACTACCACGGGGCTAACTTCACACCACACCTCTATAGGATCGTTGGAGATGCATCATCAAGGATAAACATCATTATATTCGTTTGTCCATCCACGGTAGACATTTGCCTACCAAACAGGTCTAAAAAACAATCCTCGGTCCCTCTTGAATATATGTTTAAATACTACTATGGGGACTAACTTTACGGCCACGCAGAATCGTTGGAGATGATTTATACAAAGTAGATGTGACTGAATTTACTTGTCCATCCAGCGGAAATATTATAAATATAAAAAAATCTTGTGCAGCTATGACAAGTCTAATCTATATAATCGCAGCTCAACAAATAATAGTTGGCAAGTTAATATACTCACCATGCAACTTCGAATAAAGCTCACTAGATGCCTTAGAAGAATCACGCAGAAGGGTAATTATAATAAAATACTATGCACGTTACCCCATTAACTTTGCCTATCGTCCACTATAGATATTCACCCACAAAACATATACTTTCGTACACAAGACATCTACTGTCCGTTTTTTTACCTGTATTCGAAGCTCATGAAACATTACAATATAAGTTACCGAGAACCTCCTTATACATCCTTAGACGGTCAACCAAATATGTATATACCATCTAAAAGTTATTTGGAGAAGTCCAAATGCCTATACCGAATTAACCTTTTGCTCATCTGTTGACCAGTTCTAAGTTTTGCACATTTTCCAAGCCACGGCCCTGATACTTAGCAGTAGGTATGTATTACGGTCCACCATTTTCATTATTTAGTTATTAGACCATGGTTTTTCGGCATTACCATCCTAGATGTCGGCTCTCTTTATAGCAGAAAACGGATCCTTTGACCCTAAATTTATAACTGAACATTATTATTGCAAATCGAATATTTTCCAAACATGCTTCAAGTATTGTATTTAAGTGCTTAAAATCTCATATGTTGTTTTTTTTCAATTATCCACTGACTTCGTTTTCATGGTGTGTACAAACGTCTACGAGGGGTGCACAAACGAATGCAATGATGTTTCTTCATGCATATTTTAGACTATGAGATTCAGGTTTTTTTAAAACCTATGAATACGGTTGGGTGGACAAATATGTATCCAATGGATGGACAAATAAGTGCAACCACATCCACCTTTGCCTAATCATGTCTAACGACTTTGCGCGGGCGTAAAGTTAGTCACCATAGTAGTAGGTACTAAAAAAAATTCAAGAGGGACCTAGGATTGTTTGTTTTTGTTCTGTGGGCTGGATAAGTGAATCCTGGATGAAGCATCTCCAACGATCCTACAGGGGTGTGAGGATATCCCCCGTAGCAGTATTTTAAAAAAATATTCGAAAGGATCGGTGGATTGTTTTTTTTAGATCTGTGGGCTGGACAAAAGTTTTCGATGGGTGGACAAACGAATGCAATGATATTTATATTTGATGAAGCATATCCGACATTTTTTCAGGGGTGTGAAGTTAGCTCCCGTAATAGTATTTTAAAAGTTGTTGGAGAGAATCGTACCATTGTTTTTTAGAGCTATGGGGTGGACAAGCGTCTACGATGGGTGGATAAACGAAATAAATGATGTTCATCCATTATGAAGCATTTTCGATAATTCTGTAGTGGTGCCAAGTTAGCCCACATAGTATTTTAAAAAATTTTTGAGAGGGTCGGATGATCATTTTCTTTAGATCTGTAGGGTGGACAAACGAATGCAATGATGTTCATCCTTGATGAAGTGTCTTCGGCAATTCTTTAGAAACAGATTTTAAGGCTCCAAGGGGTTGCTTTAATTAATTCAGTGGATGGATAATGTGTTTCAAATAGTCAGCAAATATAAAGGACTTGTTTTATTCCTAATCAACCATTTTCCGCAATTTTAAAGTCATTTCACTAGAACTCTGAGGTCAGGGTGGGCCCACCTTTTTTTTTCCATTTCCACCAAATTCAAAATGTGGACAAATGATACGAAAGGGTTTTTTTTTTTTTTTTTTTTTATATCGAAACAGCCGCGCAGGCAGAAGCCTAAATGCCGGAACACCGCGGCTGCTATGATGATCCCAAAGAAATTTTGTTAATACGATTTTTGAACTGCCTAAGGTTAGTAGAACTGGGAAAAGCTTCCTCCCGTAGATTGTTCCACAATCTAGACACCCTCGGGACAAAGGAGCGGTCGTATCGGCCAGTTCTGGATGTACAAAGTTTGACACGGTTAGGATGGGACGCCGAAGTCAGGCGGGTCTGTCTGGCAGGCGCATCGCGCGGCGGCATCATGGAAGAGAGCTCTGAGGAGCAAAGCCCGTTGGTGTAGCGATAGAAAAGAGCTAGATCGCCGACGGCCCGCCGGTGCGAAAGAGTCCCGAGACTGTCTGTTAGAGAAGAGTCATCGATCAGTCGGACCGCCCTCCTCTGGATAGCATCGAGCATGGACAATGTAGTCGGGGCGGCAGCACCCCAAATGTGTGAGCAATACTCGAGGCTAGGCCTTATCTGGGCCTTGTATAGAGTGAGAAGGTCATGCGGAGAAAAGTACTTCTTAGCCCTAAACAAATAGCCCAGCTTTTTCCCAGCAGCTGCAGCTATTGAAGAGATGTGTTCGTGCCAGATCAG